CAGACGGTGTTTTGAGGTTCAAGACTGCATTATTTCCACTGTTAATTAATCTGCAGATTATTTTCTCAATTAATCAATTAGTTGTTGGGTGAAAATAAGGTCGTTTGGGATTTCCCAAAGCCCAAGATGACGTCCTCAAATGTCTTGTTTTGTCCAAAGATATTCAGTTTACTGTCATAGAGAAGGTAAGAAATCTTGAAATATTCAGTGAGATTCATTTAATAGCTGGCAACTAATCAAGAATTGTTGAAGCTCTTTGCAAGAAGATTCAGCTCCCCTACATTACCTCTTTTGGGATCTTACGATGCAGGTTTGGTTTAATTCATCCCAGTTCTTCCACACTTGCCCTCATTCTCCAGCTGCTCACATAAACTGAATTAAAGAGTGATTCTCCCACATTTCAAAAGATTTCTTCTCACTTACTTATAGATTTGATCTCAGTTGCTCAGGCCTTTAGATACCCATCTTTGAATTGTTTTTTCCTTTCCATCAAAAGAGGCCTCCATCATTTAAGCATCATCAGACTCACAATTGACCGCAGAACCAGGAATAATTTGCTATTTATTACATAGCTTCTTTGAGAAAACCTGGTTCCTGCATTACCCAAAATGCAACTTACCTGTTGACAGTTCAGTTGGTTGTTATGCCAACAGTAGCTAGAATGGGTTGAGCTATATTAGCTATTTATTTGATTTGGCACAGTTCCCTCTGTGGCAACAAAAACATGGCAGTATGACCTGTAAACAGACTTTTAGGTATAAAATTAGTAAAATTCCCCTCCAAAGAAATATAACTTTATATATATGTGGCGCTGTTTTCTGTTAAAGGCATGTCCTTTGTTAACATTGTCACAATATGAAGCCTGTATTTTTCTGGATCAAATGTTTTTACTGTTGTGAACACCACAAATCAACTCCTATTCTTGACTTGCCATTGTATTGAGATTGCAGCAAAATCTCAAACCAAAACTGATGTTTCTAGAGCTGCTTGAGAATGTATGTTTTGTAATTATGGTGAACTGACTCTTTAAGGTTGCAGTTAGGTTTATGCTAATGCAGTGATCATGTTGTGTGTAGATGGTGGAGATGGGAAAGACTTGGGCGTGTGTAGGGGATCTGGAAATTCAAGGCAGTTCCTTTTTGTTCCTGTCACATTGTACATCACTGTGGACTAGCTTTTCACTGCACCTCTATGGAAACAGCACAAACCATTGCTAGAAGTGAAGGGAGTGCTCTGTGTAAACACAGCCTGCAGTTCAGCCCAATTGAGACAGAAAGTCCCTGAATTTGTGCCACATGACTGTTAGTCACAGCTGAGTCACTTATGGCTTGACCGTTGTGCCACGGACTGCAAAATAGTTTGTCTTTTTTATAGAATCTCATCACTGCAAGCGACATATTTTTGGTCAGTTTTTAAATGGCACATATTGATTTAAGTGAATTAAATGAAATGTCAGTAGTTTAAGCTCAGATTTGATTATTTTTCCCAATAGAACCACATTTCGTCCATGATTAGTTCCAGGACTGGCAGAAAGTTGAAAATCTGTTTTTATATATTCTGACTGATAAATGGTGTAATTTTGATGCCTTGTTAAAAAAAAAAAAGCTTACATGCTTTTCAAACTCGCTGACAGGTTTGGAGATTCAGAAGATTAAATGGCAGAATTTGGTTGATGTGAAGCATTTTATTTGCTTGAATTTTAAGGCACTTCTGTATTGTTATGTTAAATATATATCCAAGCTTTCAGAAACATATGAGAGTTAACAAGTTGGAATGTGGTGTTTAGAGTAAGTAAAGAAGACTTTGCATGTTGTTTTATATGTCATGTTGGTGACGGTTAACACAGTTGCAGAAGAATTCATGTGTGTGTGGTGACCTGAGCTTGAAGCATCAGTTAGTCAGTGTCCTCTTCATGCCTCCTTCATGAACTATAAGGGTGTGCTCAAAGTGGGTGAGCAGCACAGCTTCGGATGGATGCACAAAAACACCCACATTTCAGGCTTTGTTGTTGACATGTTTGCATTTGCGTACTGTAGAATGCGTGAATAACTAATCAAAGGCTTGTGCGTGTCTTTGCGGTGGTGCATGAGCAAGCGCACATCCATAATGAATGTTACCTCGCTGTATTGTGATAATAAACCTCAGTATCCCTCTGTGCGCCTGACACAGATTTTTATGAGTCATTTCTAATGGGACTTCAGGAAGCTGCTTGAATTGGCTGTAATACAAAGATGCAGGAAACAGGTCTGCTTTAATATGGAAACACAAAAGGACAATAACGTACTGCCCACACGGGTTTCCATCTCTACTTGAACTGTCTCTCACTGCTCTTCTCGAGCTCATTTTCACATAAAACCTTGAAAAGAGTCTGAGTGCGTGCAGACTTGCGAGCATATTTTATTCCCATCCTCTCCATTTAATCTGACTACTTACACATGAACACGCAGACTCTGGGTCTCTGCGGCTTCTTATTGCACATGCTGTCACACTTTCACAGCTCTCAGTAATTGTTCAGTTGCCCTGCTTCTCCTCCTCTTTTTACCTTGCTGATATCGCTCCGTCGCTATATTTCCACCTCCTCCTGTGTACACTGGATGTGCAGGGACCTTTGTCTTTATGGATAGATTTCCTGCTTGGCACGGAGCCTGAGACAACTCTCTAATCTAATAAAGAGCGTAATCAGGCCACTACGCCACAGCTGGAGTGTTTCACCTGAGTGTGAGCCCCAGAGGCAGAGTGCGCTGAAGGGTTATGGTCGAACGGGGACCGGCTTGTATATAGACCTCTGTTTTCCGTCTGTTCCATTATTGTCAGTGCATCAGCTGTAGTGCGTTTGCATGTTTGTGCGTCAGGCATCTGTTGTGTGTGGACGCTCAAGTCCGTAGGCTGAGTCAAGAGCGCAGCACCAAAGGCGGCCTCTTTGTGGCTCAGTAGGAGCTTCAGATCTGGGTGGGAGGTGGAGGTTTGGGGTGCACCGCTCAGTCTTCTTCCCTCCTGACCACTCAAAGCGAAACCAGACCAAAGCCCTCGGCTCCCTGCAGGAGATACAGCGTCTCTCTGTGGAGGCTGAACGCTCTCAGAGCCCATTCTGACTCCCTGCTCGTCCTCCTCCTCTGCCTCCTGCTGCTATTTTTCTCTGCTTCTGAAAGTCTGCAGCTCCACAAATGCTTATCAGTGCAACATCAAACCTTTATTTTGTAATGACAGAATATTATTCCACATGAGGAAAATGGCTAACCCCGTACCGACTGCTGTAATGACAGTTGAGCGTATTAAAGAAGAGCTCTCAAATTGGGGCGTTCAGTGTTTTTTGGTTGGAAATATTTAACTTACTAACTGCTGTCTGATGAATTTTAGTTGTGGTGAATATAAACCCTACAGAGGACATCAAATAACACAGTTTTTGTTGGATTAAATATAGCTTGTGTGGGTTTAGATAACATTAGCCTGATCACGGTGGCTCTGAATCCCTCTCACTTAGATTTGTGCCAGTTGAATCGACATCTTTCGCTAAAGTCTGTCTTCTCAGGCTTTTTTCTCAGAAACTGCTTCCTCTTACTCCATTTTTCCTGCTATTTCCCCTCGTCTCCTCCCTGCCTCCCTAGAGAGATAATTCTTGCAGTTAAACATTATTCACAGTTTCTTTTGACAGAATTCATGTTCCACATTTTGTATCCTTTCGTGTCTTAGTTTTGTCGTACATTCGCTGAAGTCAGTTTCATTAGATGTTCCTCATTCTTCACCAAAACCCCAGAAAAAACATCCTCACAGACTTGGTTTTCAGATGTGATCCGTCTTTCGTACAGAAAAAAATCTAATGCTAGTTTGGTTTTTTTGTTTTTTTAAAGTATACCTTGTTTCTGATATTGGTTACAAATGGAGAACTCTGTTTAAATAGCTTGCATTTTCACTGCAAATAGGAAGAATCTTGGGCATCTTTTTTGTTTTTTTAAACAATATCTTGAAATAAGATGATGCTAAATACTTAATTATTTTTACTTATCTGGTGGGGCACTAATCAGAAACTAAACGGAAATGTTCAAAAATGTAAATGAGGAGCAGGTTGAAGTATCTGTCCCTTTTGTGTGGTTTCTAATTTAAAGAGTCATTTAAAATGCAGTATTTCCTTGGATATGATTCTGTTTGCGTGTTGGTCAAGCTACACCTTCAGTGTAGGTGTGAGGCCTTATGGACCTTTTTCACAGCAGACGTTTGACATCACTTGTGTTAATAGGAAAAGCACAGGTGTGCTCTGTTCAAGTGTCCCGGTAAGCCATGACACTGTGACCTTGTACCAGCATGCACAATACCAGCACTGTGAAACTGAAGCAGTGAAATGAAATTCAACCATCATTTATTTTCATGTGAGCTGCTTTTGCTACCGCGCAACATTGAAATGTCCCAATACAAGCTGCAGTGATGTCGAGGTTACCCAGTTTTGTTTATCATCAAAAACAAAAGTAGTTTCTATTCAGCTTTTGTCTTTTTGTTGCATTTCTCCCTTTCACGCTCTGCAGAGCCTCAACAGAGCCACAAGCTGCATCAGTTACATATCACTTAACTGTAGATCTGCATCTCACTGAGCTAATGATGACATAACAAACAGTTGAAGAGGATTCGAAACACAGTGGCTTATTTCTTCTCTTGGAAATTGCTCAACTCCCTCATTTCATGCAAAGGTGTCCTCTGCTTTCTGCCTCATGGTGCCTGTAATGGTTTCACATTAGTGTCTTTGTCTGGATAAACCTGGCTGACCGCCCATTCAGATGAAGTGCATAAAAATAATATCTTGATATGCCTCTCTGTGGTTTTTAAATATTTATTGGACCTAATGGTTTAACCCTCTGAGTCCCAAACAGTTTCTGGGTGTTTGTGACTCCTGTCAGATTTTAACTGAATGTGAGCTCATTTTTCACTGCAGTTTCAAATCCTGCACCTCTTTGGAAACAGAACAACCATAGCTAGAAGTAGAGAGAAACCAAACATGTGTTCTGTGTAGTATGGCACAGGTATAATGTCATTAAAATGTATTTCTTGACAAATTACTTTACAAAAATAAAATGAAAAAAGGAATCAATGTACAACCTTTATCCAATTGCACACTATTGTCAATTGCACCAGTATTGGGAGGGAAAAACCAAGACATTTGAAGACATCATCTGGTTAACACTGATCAACATTTTGTACCATTTTCTGACATTTTCTGAACCAAACAACTCATCAATCAATCAATCAATCCATGCTGTCATGAAAATCCTTTTATTTTAGATAAATAAGACGTCAGGAATTTATTTTTGCCTTTTGTTCAGTGATGCTTGTAATAGGAAACTATTGGAGGAAGGTTGGCTCGAGATTTGAGCCACCTGTTGCTCAGGGAGAAATTAAAAAAAAAAAAAAGTCATAATTTTCATCCACACAGCTCAGGAAGCGTTACATTATGTATGACTCGATACTCATTCCCTGCTGTTTGGAACTTTTGTGAGAAGAGAAAGGGTTCATTTCAGGCAGGAGAAGATGGAACGCTACAGTCTGCCTTCGCAGAGTTGATAAGCAAATGGATCTCATAGGCTGCTAATGGGGAACAGAATTAGTTTGACATCGGCTGGATGAATGAGATGGAGCCACACGAGATCCCTTCTAATGCAGTGTAATGGCTGATATGTGATTAGACATAAGCATGTGTTTCAGCATGAATCTTTGGATAGATGGTGGAAAGCTTGAGAAGCTTGAATCTATTGAGCTATGAAGATATATTTTTAGATATTGGCAAATATCTACTGGCACCAAATGAACTTTAAAGGCCTAATTTGTAATTTTTGTGACCATGTAAATCGGCTTTTGATTAGAAACGAAATCGTTCTGCTTTTTCTGTCCTCGCTTCCCGATTCCACACTCGTGTTTTTCTTTGATACCGGAGTGACCCTCAAGTTTGGTTTCCATGGTCTGCTTTAAAGGGAATAGTTGGAGATTTCGAGATGTGCTTTTATTTGCTTTGTTAGTTTTTGTACAGATTAAACAAACCAGATGTGTTATGTTAATTCGAGGGCTTCAGAGGTGCCAGTAAATGCAGGTTGTTTTCTGTAGACAGAGTCAGGCCAGCTGCTTACCTCTGCTTTCAGTCTTTATGCTCGCTAACTGGATGTAGTGTGTTTACTATGCAGATATCAGAGTGGTATCAAAATATTGAGCTGTTCCTTCAAGCTCAAGCGTTATATGTGCCTGTATATGTACATGGGTATGTGTGTGAACTTAGAAATGCGCAAAAGTCAAGGTTTTCTCTGCCCTTAGGTTCTAATTCAATAATAACTTGCTAATCACTCGACCTGTGGTTCTAATTACAAGTGTCATTAAGTGCTCCTTGTTTCTAATCAGCTGATGGGTGGAGAGGTGGGGAGAGTGTTGATACTGCTCCTTTTAACCTTGAATTGTGCAACAACAACCTTTACATGGTCCAATCCAGTTTTCACCAATGTTGCCAATAAAAGAAATACAGATTTCATTAGTTTCACCGTTTGTTTTTTTAAAGAATGATAAAGAATAATATTTATTGTTTCAAGCTGTTTTAAATAATTCCTGATTGTGTTTGTTTCAGGGGAAGGAGACGGCAGAGGAGGAGGATGAAGTCGCTGTGGGGATGGAGAAAGGCTTCATGGATGAATTCTTCGAACAGGTTTGTCTCTTCTCACACGCCTGATGTGTCCTTCTCCGTCTCCGTCAGTCACTGTTCTCCATTCAAGCATCAGCAGGTTTATAGTAGGCTAATAATTTGCCATCTTAAATTAAAGTCCAGCTTATTTGCTCCACTACAGTCTGCCCGGGTATCATTCCTCTGCTGATATTGAATCTAATCGTGCTGGTTTTTCAAATCACTGTAATCAATTTCATGCTGTTTGTCTTCTCTGGGGAGCATTGCTATGATTTATAACTATTGATGTTGTTGCTGGTGTGGCATGGATCGTTGTGTATTTTATTTCATTTGAAAAGGCCTCTATTGATTCAACACGTCCAGCTCTGACTAACAGCTCTGGTCATTTCGCTTTTTTTTTTTTTCTTTCTTCCCCTATAGCCTTTTCGCTTGTACATGACAGATAGTACATGCACAGAGCCTGCGTATGACTGCATCTGTGCATGCATTTGGGAGTGTTTTTTCCTGTACATGCTGTGCACATGTGCTGGGAACACAAACTGAACATCATCATGGCTCTCAGAGGGAGGGCCCCATTTCAGTGTAGCGCCGGTTGACATCCCCTCCCCAGAGACATGGAGACCCGCTGTGAATCATCAGTCATATGGAGCCAGCCTGACTTTACTCTGCGACATCTTTCGCTGTGAGTAAAGTGGCCTCTGTAATGCCTTTTTAATGGACGTGATCTCCCACGGCGATTGGTCTAAAAGTAAAAATCTGGATAAATTCGCTTAAGTAAGAAAGAGGCTAAAGGAGACTTTGCATCTTCCGTATAATCCATATTTATCATCACTTATTTTGTCTCTCGTCTGCCGGCGCTGCTTCATTTTCCATATTTTATGAGCCTTCAATTTCAAAAAAACACCTGCGTATATCAATTTATGTACTCGCTGGGCTTCATCTTTGAAGTATTTAAATCAACATTGCAAATGCTGCTACAAAGATGGGTCGTGTGAGGTTTAACGCCATTTAGTAGCATTCGTGAGTTATGAAAGAGGTCTGACAGCCAGCACTTTGATATGAGTTTTCAAAGCAACACCCGACAACAAACGCATCACCAAAGAGGCAAAATCGTCTGTGACTGACCTGTAGGTGCATCAATCAAAACCCCTTTATAGATATTTAATAAATCAAGAGAAATGGTCTTAAAAATATTGACATATGGACAAACAGAAAAAAACAAGAAATGGTGGATATATTGTTTATACCACGCTGTACATAACATAAATCTGACGAATGTTGGCGTACAAGTAATTTTAAATTGACGTGTTTCGTACACCTTCAATCATATATGACCTGTAATTCAAGCAACCGGGCAGCGTATAAATAGACTTGGTGCTCATTTATTGTGCGGAGCGCTGCTTTAATGCCGCTACAACCGCTGCCTGCTGCTCAGCTGTTTGACTCCTCCACCCTCCTGCATTAGCATTTAGATTTCTCCATTCAGTGTAACTTCTTGTAAATTTGAATGCACACACTTGCTTGTGAGCTCAGCGGCAAATCTGTGGATCGCAGGTTATGGAGGATAACAGGAACAAAGCCAAATGCATATTGTTTCGCTGCTTTGATGAACATTCTACCTAAATGTGCACATAGCCTCATAAAACCATCATTTTAGCTGAGTTTGCAGCCATTAAATCATACAGGTCAGTCAAACAGGCCTGCAAAGCCTCATTTGAGCTGCTTGTGTCCACAGTCTTATTCTCTTAGCTTGTAACCAAACGCTGAGGGAAGAAGTGCAGTTTGACCATCAAACTGAGAGCTTATCTTCACTCTGTCGGCTATGATGGTCTCTATAATGGAGGACGGTTTTAGTGCAGGCACAGTGTTGAAGTCATGTCTGTATAAACTGATTGGCATCAGCTGCCTCATTCATTCACCACTATCAGTAACTTCTTCATCAGCTTATTCGCTATAAGCTGACGAGTCATAAGCTGACGGTCTTATCTTGTACTACAGAAAGTCAGTCAGCTTCCTCCATCACCTCTGGTTTTTGTTAAAATTAATTTAAGGTTTAACCCGAACAATTACTGTGGGCTTTTTTTTTTTTTAGCTGCAATATAAAGTCCTACACCTTACAATATTGACTAGAAATAAAGAGTCATTTGCACAGTATGATAAAGGTGTAATGAAATGAATGAAATGAAAAATACTTTATTTATCCCAGAAGGGAAATTCAATTATGTTAATGTTACTATTGTTTTTATGTTTTTATATATATTTGTTATTTTTATTATGTTATTACATAATGCCATATGTCATAAAAAAGAAAATATGAAAGTTGAAATATTTGAATTATTTGTTTTACAAAAATGGGGAAAAAAATTATATTGACATGAACAACATTTGTCCGAGTGCCCCAAGGTTTTACCAATACTGGGAAAAAATGGTGTCTCTCCATACTGTGGATGTTTTTACCACTACATTTGTTTCCGTACTCGTCTCTTATCCGTTCTGTGTAAACACAGCTTGCAGTTCAGCCCAGTTCAGCCAAAAAGTCCCTGCGTTTGTCACGTGACTTTGGGTTGCAGCTTAATCACAAATAGCTTCACAGTTGCATCAAGCACTGCTGATTTTTTTTTTTTTTTTTTACAGAGTCTGTTTAGAGCAAATGTTTTCTGGCAGATTTTTAAAATTAACATATGCAGAGTAGTAAACATAATTAGTTCAAGGTCCTTTAGAAAGTTGTAAATCCATCAATTCTGTCTGTGTTTACAGTTTCGGGCTCTGATAAATGCTGTAATTTGGCGTTTTTGTCAACAGATAGCACGCCTTTCAAACCTGCTGATGGGGATTGAGCCAGGGAGTTAATGAGTGTATATGTTTTTATCAGGAAAATTCAGGTGCCCCTCGTCGATTCTGTGTAGCTTTTCAAAATTTTAATCTCCTTGATATAAGTGTCTCAGAGGGAGAGGGTTGTTCGTTGTTTATCACTGGTGATTAAGACTCCGCCACGATTGAGCAGTCTGGTTAACAGTGCTTATTTTCATTTTTCATTGCACATGAAAGGTCCACGATCAAAAAGCAAGGACAGCTTCATTTGAAAATTAAAGAGACGGCACCCCGGTGTCACCAAACTGGCACTATCCCAGTGTCCTGTTCATTAGTACATCCTTTTCAGGTTCAACTTCCACACTGCACATGCTTCATTTCATGCTCCAAATATATCAAAATTATGTATCTATAAAAGTAAAGATTTCCTTTTTACTCCTGTGCTACATATTCTAGCATCCAGATCTGTAATGCAAGTACTTTTCAAAATGTAGTTTTTAAATGTTAGAAGTAGTTTTTTTTTAGCACCCAAAACTGAATCTCCCAAATCTGAGGTTTGACAATGAGTACAGGGAAAATCCAGAGTAGGACTTTAGATATAATTATGGGATGTTTGAGCTCTGAGGGAACACTACAGCCTCCAGTCATTTCTCTTACATTTGTCTCCTCTCATTTCTGTTCTGCTGCTGCTTCTCACATCTGACAGACTGTCTGTATCCGTGTCATAGAGACGCAGCTCTCTTCATCTGTCTGTAATTTTAATCTGTTACATCTGTCTAAAGTGCGAAAGTGAGGAGAGCTGAGTTTGGCTGAAATATGTCAGGATGAATGGAGAACAGCCTGACATGGAGCTATAAGAAGGACAGAGACAGATTTTAAAATAGTGGTGATTTGGAGAAGTTGGACAGTAAGACCAGAGAGGAGGGATGGGTAGTAACATGCGACAGAGGAAGATGTACAGTCGTCCTCAAATGTATTCATACCCTCCCATTAAAGAAGGAAAAAAAAAAAGCAAGCATGATGAGACCTGTTAACAAATATTTTGTTGAACAACCCTTTGAGCCAATCACTGCAATCAAGTGTTTTCTGTAACTCTCAGTCAGACTTCTGCACCTGTTGACAGGTATTTTGATTTTGACCCACTGCTCATCAGCAAGGTCCTCTAATTTGTGCGGGACAGTTTTTTTGTTTTTTAAAATTATTCTTTTTACCACAATTCAAAAGCAATATTTCTTATTTCCCTAAATTACAATTTAGCAAATTTTTATTTATTATTACTTTTTTCAGTTTCTAGTTATTTGAGTGACTTTCTTTTCTTTAATGGAAGGGTATGAATACATTTAATGACGACTGTAGATAGTGAAGAGAGCAGATTAAGCAAGCAGAGGGAGAGCAGGAGGGATCAGACTCTCACCCTGACTGGGTGCGTTAATTAAGCTTTCAGTGGTGATCCGGAGGGACAGTGGACAGTGGTGGGACCCCTGCAGCCCTCTGCCCTTCACTCAAACCATAAACATGATCCTCAGACCGTGGAATATGGGTTTGTGCAAATGTGGCTGTTTCTGGTTTTGCACCAGCTGGTGTCTATCTGTGTGCATGTGTGACAAGGCTGCATTTTATGTCACAAAGAAAACAAAACCAACAATAAATGTGTCCTGCAACAGCAACAATACTGTCTCTCATCCTGATGTGCTTGTTGCTTCAGCAAGAATTACTTCTGGTGTACAATGACTACATTTTTCATCAAATCACTTTTAAAAATTGTAAAATATTCTGACAAATACTGTGCAGAATCAAAAAATTGGCACGGTTAAGTGAGCTAAATTTGGCTAAAAATATCTATCTAAAAAGTAATTTCACTTATTATTAGTAATTTTGAAGCATCACTGTACACACAAAGGTTTAAACACACCATTATTTAAATAACAAAAATAATAGGAGTAATTAATTTTAGCATGTTTTATAGTTTTGCTGCTTTACATGACTTGTCTTTTTACCCCTTGAACCAGGACATGTAGGAATGGCCCAATTTTTACATTTGCGCAACATTTTCTTTATTATAAAGATGTCTAACTAATTTATTTCTCCCTGCCCAATACATTAGCAAAGCAACTTCAAAACACTGCACACAAAAGCCACATAAGGTTTTCATAATATTGCAGGTTTTCTGCTGTGCATGCATTTGTGTGCAATGTGTGATTCGGCTTCAATCTGCTGTAACACATCAGCACTTAAATGTATTGATGGGACTCACCTACACAAAAATTGAAACTTACCATTTTTATATACATCAGCAAATCAATTTTTATGATTCTATAAAAGGACTGTAGTGCTGCAGTACATAAGGCCTACATTTTGAATTATGATCAGTTTAAAACACAATATTCATATCTGCTTTAATGTTTATTAAGTAAAAATATAAAATTCCACTTTAAAAACAGATGATTGCAATAAATAACAGCTGAGCAGAGAGATGAAGATAAAAATAATCTACCTCTGGGATTTCTAAAACCAGTCTCTATCTTAATTACTTGCGCCTGTAAGCACCATTACATTAGTCAGGACTTTTCTTACATTGTGTAACGAGGCTTTTTTCACACCCCTGAAATCCTTCACCGGGTGATGCAAGAATGAAGTGAGCGAAAGCAAGAAAGGCTCAGTGTGGCCTGCAGCCCTCTGATCACACTCCTTAGCAGATAAAAATTTGACTTTTATACCAGAATAACTTAAATTAGATGACAACATTGGAAAACTGAAATTCCATTACCAGCTGTGGGATTTGGCTGATTAGCCTGGCAGGAAGGTACACAGCACGTCAAGTTAATGAAGTTATAAAACTGGAAAAATTGCAAGTGTGTGAGTTGATTTTGTTTTTGCGTGTATGTGAGGTTTTCAGCAGCGTCTAATATTGGTATTTTCTCCCACACTAATACAATTTGCCTGAGAGCTGAAAGGAGCAACATGACTCACTAATATATGATTTCTGAACCGAGACACTTTAAAGTGGTTTCATCTTCTGCTCACTTACTGTCTCTTTTGCTTCTTCCTTTCTCACTCTCCAACATTTTTAACTTTCACTCCCCCACCTAGCTCACTTTAATTTAACTCTGTAGTCACCTCAGTGTGCCTCCTTTAGTGTCTGGTCTCTCCCCTGGGGTCTTATACAGCCAATTATGTTGTTATTTAAAAAACTGATCCAATCAGCAGCTAATTAAAGAGATAATTGGAGAATAATAACCCAGGCTGAGGGGAGGGAAGCTCAGGAATGTGGCAGAGCTGTGAGAAGTGATGGTTGAAAGGTGGACTGCAAATGGAAAAGACAAAGCAGCGATATGCACGAGGAAATGAGCGTGGTGGAGAAGAATGAATGGAGCGTCGGCTGACTGGTAGAAGAGCAGGTGTAGCAGGAGGAGAAAATGAACAGCAGTATGACAGACTGAGATGAAAGTAGAGATTGATGAAGTTGCTGATAGATGTGACCTGCTGCTCATCCAGCTGTTGCCACGATCCAGAGGCAGCACAGCTGGTCATGATGCAACAGAGAGGAGGAGGGAGGTGATTGGTTAGAATGTCATACCTGCATCTCTGAGACAGATGATTCAGAGTTTGAAAGAGAATATGAATGCAATGCACTGCCAGGGTCGGTTTCCTTTAATGCATTTAATGATGCGCTTAAAAAAAATGTTTGTTTGTTTTCTTTTGAAACCGCTCTCTTGTCTGTAAGCCAAGTATGAATCTGCAGTCGGCATCCAATTAGCAAGCCTTGTATAAAGAAGGGAAAACAGCGGGCCTGACTCTATCCATAGGTACAAAGACATCTACTTAGCAGTATGTCTACCTCACTCATTTGTTTAATCTGTACAAGAACCAAGTGTTCAAATAAGGCAGATTTCATAAACTTTGCAGAAACTGGTTAACTGTTTTCCATTCATCATGCAAATGTACAGTATACCGAAGTGAGGACACCTCAGTGCAAAATCACATAAATATCAAATTATTTCAAATTCCAACACCTCTCAGTAATTGCGTTATTTCTAAATTGCAAATAAAATGTTTAATATTATAAACAGTGAATAATTTAGAAAGAATTTATTGTAAGCACAAGCCTCTAAGTAGACACTCAGTATGACAAGAGTGCACCTGTGATCACAATTGAGTACACCTGGAATTTTCAATTAGTCTAATTGCATGGGCATGGTTATAAAACGACCTTTAAATGTCAGAACTTTCTCAGTTTTGAGCCAGTGTGTCTCTTTCCATGCTGCATCATGGCTCCGCATGGAAAAGAACTGCTAGAGGAATTTGAAAATCTGATTGTGAGCTTTTAGAAAGATTGAAAAGAATTCAGAAAGATCAGTGACCAACTAAAAAACAGGCAATACGCAAGAGCAGCAGTAATCAGGAGGTATAGAACAACCATAGTACCACCAATCAGAGACACCACTGCCATAGACAGTGTGCTATTTTCACATTGTAGCTCTGAAAAAGACATGGACCAGTGCTTCAGACTTTACACAGTCATTATAAAGTGGAGTTTCTGTGACAGCTCAGAAAGTGTGGAGGACATTGAACAACAGGAATCTCAAAAGACAGTACGCAAAAAAACAAGAAAACTTGCTTGCTCTTCAGCATTTAACAGAAAGATTAACTTTGCTAAATTGAACGGAAAGCAGCCTGAGGAACACTGGGAGCACATTCCTTGGTCAGATTAGATCAAGCCAAATTTGTTTAGTTCAGATGGGGTCCAACATAATTGGCATGGCTGTGGCCAAGACTACTGCAGTGAATGCATAGTCCCGACAGTAAAGCGCAGAGGCAGGAGTGTGATCATAGGGAGCAGCATGAATACAAAAAATGTTGAGGAGATGGCATCTATAGATGGCACTGTGAATGCCTGCGGATATACCAGAAATACTGGCTGACAAGATGACTCCCAGTCTGCAGAAGCTTGGCAGAGGAGAAATATTCCAGCATGATAACCATCCAAAACATTCTTCTAAATAAAGAAAAGAGTGAAAACTCTGACCTGATCAAGTATGTTGAGAATCTGATAGAATAAGGGCTGGACCTGAATATCCGAATATTTGGTCATTGTGGTGGTATCCGGATAGCAGTTTTGATATTTGAATATCCACCCGCTACACATACACCCCTCCATAAAGTTGGTATCATCCATGCCAAGGAGGACTGAATCTGTCCTTGAATATAACGATGGACATACAGACTAGTTAAAAATAAGAAATCTGAATCTTATAATGAAAGATACTGACTTTTGTTGTATCAGGTTCCTGCTGTGGAGCCTGTATTTTTGATGTGGTAAATCTAAAGTGATTTTAAAATGTTAATTTTATACAGGAGCAAATAACCGACTGTTCAACTTAGAATTTGACATTTATTGACATATGTTGCACAGGGTTGTCCTCACTTCTGTTGTATACTGTAGTTCACATGTAGCACATACATGTCACTCTGCTTTCATTCTGCTTCTAATATGATAATAACATCTTCAGTTCAGCTTCTGTCAACTTCAGTCAGACTAATCACTGTTGCTTCCCGCTTCAGTACTGAGCACATCTAAAGCACCTTTTGGCGTCTCTCTCTCTCTCTCTCTGTTGACAGGTGGAAGAGATCCGGGGTTTTATCGAGTCTCTGGCAGAGAAAGTTGAAGAGGTGAAGAGGAAGCACAGCGCTATCCTCGCCTCGCCAAACCCTGATGAAAGTAAGGCTGTTTGTCTTTTCTCTGTCTTCTTGTTTAATTCTTTCAAGCGCAATTCTCTCAGGGTTAAAAGTTCTACAACCTGAGACATTCACAACATCTTGCTCTGCAGTATTCTCATTATGACAGGACTGAAGTGCCTCAGGAGTTCATGCGGTTTGGCAGTGGTTTTTCTCTGATTGACAAGTTGCATTTGTATCCTTTGGTTTAAAAATATTGTACAGATGAGTGACATTACAGGAAGAAACACTCAGGGCATTTCCTTTGCAGAAACATTCCCTATGAGGAACTACTGGTTCTCAATTTGCAATGCCAAACATCACTTCATTCACAAGTTGAGACTCTGGTATCAATATTAAGGTGTATAATTCAAAAGATGTGAGGACTTTATCAGTGAGAAAATGTAGCGCTTTGCTGATTTTTCCCAGTGGGATGTTGTTTCTTCCAGAGGTTCAAAATTCGCTACTAAAGTAAACTGATCTGAACAAAAGTCTCTGCAAAGTTTATTCCTTTGACAAAGCTCTTAATTTACCCCACATGTATGGCAAATCTCTTCGAGTTACTTCAAAGCCAGAGTTAGAGCCTGTCCATCTAAGACCTCAGATTAATCCAGCCGAACATCTATGAGAGATTTCTCAACAATGTGGTTCAAAGTATTCTCCAGTAGTCTGACTGACTAGATGTAGACTGCGGGTATAGACCTACTATTGACCCCATATTTAACTCATCCTTCTCCTCCCCTATTTCCCACTTTTAAAATCAACAATGTCTAAGCAGAAATCTACATGCTGATAATGACATATTTTGATGAAGATTTGGACCTTACAAGTAGGCAATTCTGCGTGGTTCTTTTAGCAAGTGGTTATAAGGTCTACAAAGAATATGTGATCGTGCACGTTGGTCCGTCACCTTTTCATTTCAAGCAACGTTCAACCAAAACAAGTTTCCCCCACCTGACACTATTTTGCAGGGGCACCATCACTACACCCTGGGCTGCACAAGATGTTTGTGATTGGTTTAAATAAATATAAACAAGCAAGAGTGTTTGTCCCCTATAGCAGAATGATGATAGGGCGTAGCCAGACTATTCTTTAGTACAGACATAGCACTGTGGCAACAGGTCTGACTATGTGAAGGTAACTGTCCACCATCATCATTAACACATCAAATGAGGGAATACGTCACTGAAAAATGGTGTTTGTCCCTCCGGTGGAGTCCAATAGGCTTGTCGAATCTATGTCAAAGAGCAGTGAAGCTGTTCTAAAGGCCTAACAACCTTGCATGTTAGTTTTTCCTCTAATTAGTCACTCAGGTGTTTTTAAAGGGATGATTCATCGTGAATTCGCTGATTAATTCAATCAGGGGATGTTACGTTGTCCGAGCCAAGGCTGACCCTTTAGCACAAGCCTATCACTGATTAATGATAACATTAATGTTTAATTCTGCAGTGACTCGGTAATGAGTCAGAGAGGCTTTTAATGAAAAGTTGAAAGAGAAAAAAGCCAAAAGTCACAGTTTCATATGCTGTCTAATGTACAGCAGAAGCAAAAGCCTCATAGTAGTGTCAGATTGCACTGAACAAAAGGAAGAGAAATGACTCCGTAATTCTGAAGAAAGTGAAGACATAAAAAACAGTTTATCACAAAAGCAAACAGCCTGCCTGTGGATGGACACTGTAATAGAAGCCAGTGGACCTTGTAGATGTTCAGAGCTGACCTCTTCACCGGTCAGTTCTCACTGTCCCTTTGGGCATTTATGCTCTCTCAGTGAAATTTCCTACACTCTTGTTTGCCCATTTTTCTCCAATTTCGCACTTTGCCTCTCCATCATTTCATTCTTTAGTCCTGTCTTTACCTCTTCAGCTTCTGTTACCACCATCTGCCATATTTCTCAGGTTCTCTCTCTTCCCTTCGCCCATTTCAGCCACGCTCCACTTTGCTTTTGTTCAGTCCGTGCTGGATACTACAATCCATCTTTCCTCCTGTCTTTCTCCTCCTCCATCTCTGTTCTCTCACACCTCTTCCTCTCTCATTTATGTCAAGGCATTGATCGAGACCCCTGCTCTCACGAGGGGGATGTAACTCATACTTGTAACACCCCTCAATCCCTTTTCTTCCCCCTACCTCCCACCTACCTGAAAAAAGCATCGATCTGCTTACAGCTGCAGGCATCAGATGAGCCCTTTAACTAGCCAGAGAGTGCAGATGACATACAGAGCAGAGCAGCAACGAGTCAAGGTGTTCTGTTTAAGATACAAATTCTTCCACAGGTCATCTCCTTCGTGACCGAAATCAATTCTGAATGTGTGTGTGCGCCCGATAAAGGTAAAAAAAATAAATGCACATCAGACAGCGGTTGATGTACAGTAAATGTCAGGGTTGTTTATTACAGGGAGGTCATCCTGTTCTTTGCTTTCTGCCTGTTGCATTGTGGCCCCAATAATGTGTATAATACAGTTAGGAAGCTCCTCTGTTGGCCAAGCAGGTACTTCTGCTATAAATCAAAATCATATACTTGGCATTGAATAATACAGTTTGTTTGGAAACACAACTCTGACTAGATTACGCTTCTGTATTTCAAAAAGTACAGCAGTGAAATGTTCACATTTAACGTGTGCTCACAAAGGTCACTGTCAGTGTTTTTCATTACTTTTCCTGACAATATCTGCTCCTGGCTACAAAAGCATGATTAATGTTTTTTTATGGTTATGGCTAGACAAGGTGGTTTTGCTTATGTACTTAAAATATCAAAAAACCAGGGCGCAACGTCGATAGTCATACTGCTGGGTGATACCTCTGCACAGTGAACTAAATGCTAATATTGGAATGGTTACATGCTGATATCAACCTGAAGTATCGATCACTATGTTAACCATCTTAATTAGAATGCTAATACTAGCTTATATGATTAATAATATTTCTGTCATAATCATGATGGGAATGTAATTTGTTTTGCTGGTTACTGATCAGAAACCCAATTGCTGGACAAGCTCTCATGTTGACCTGATGATGACACTAGATGTCAAAAAAGTGATTAAAATTCACCTTGATCTGGACATTTTTTACTAAATTTTACTTCCATCCACCATCCAACTGTTGTTACTGGTTAACTTTCCTTCAAAATGGCCACTGTGTGCGGGGACATAGCACCTACAGACGGGTGAGCAGTTAAATGAAAACCTTGGGGGATCTGGTGGCTCTGTTACACTGCGGGGGGCTTTTTCCTGCCATGATTTGTCTCTTTTACAGTGAAGAGTCACTGCAAATCAATACAAAGTTGCTCTGAGTGGCCATCTTTATCCTGTGATGAAACATTTCTATCCTGATAAAATGGAAGTGGTCTGTTCCAGGATGATAATGATCCCATTCACAGGGCATGAGGGGTCACTGAATGGTTTGATGAGTTTGAAAATGATGTGAATCATATGCTGTGGCCTCCACAGTCACCAGTCCTCAGCCCAAATGAACACCAGTGTGAGAGTTTAGATCAAAGCACTAGACAGCGTTTTCCAACACCATCATCAAAACACCAAGTGAGGGAATATCTCCTCCAGTACAATCTAAAAAAAAAAAAAAAAAGTTTAAACTGTTTTTAACTGTAATTTTTGAACAATTTGCTGTTATTTTACAGATTTTCCCAATTTTGTTGAATTACAAATAACAACTTAAGAAAAGAGAAGACAGGAAGGAGACTGAAAAAAAAGATTAATTTACATGTTAACAGTAAAAAAAGAAACTATCCAAAACTGTTCATATCAAAAATCTGTATTTTTAGAAAAGATTATTTGTGTTTTTTTATATTTTTTTGTCACATTTGACTGCAAAAAAATTATCGCAGCTTTTTAAAAATCATGACTTGACTGGTATCTGAAAATAAAAAGAGTATATTAAGAACTGAAAAATGGTTGATAATTACTTTTTTAACTGTTATTTGACATATTTCCCCAGTTTTGTTCAATTGTAGGGAATATCTAGTAAAATTAAATCATACAATCACAGACAAATTAATTTGTGACTGTTTTAAAACTACCAAAATGCTCAACAATGTCTACATCAAAAATCTGATTTGTAATTTTGCTCCTTTACAATGTGTGACTGTGAAATTAGATAGAACTATACTACACTGTTCTACTGTTATTAAATCAGCTAAAAATACAATAACTTTACTGATATGCTGTCAGATTTTCACCACTTTTAATTAGATTTTTTTTTTACACTGTATAGTTTCAGGGACTTTTAGAAATACACCAAAGACACTCTGAAGCTGTTCTACTGACATGTAGCTACCCAGCACCTTATTAAGACACATCATGTTGGTTTTTCCTTTAATTTCACACCCGTCTGTATTTGATGTGTTTTTTCCCCCTGAACGTGTCTCTGTCTGTCTGCAGTGTGCAATGTGCAATTCTGACATTTGGTGCTTCAGCTTGTACTGCAGTGAGTCTTCAAAACTAATTGCACGATGGCATTTTAATGTGAAATCCACTGTGGGATGTGAATTTATTGGAAAGTTATTTGAATGTTGGTCACACGAATAGCCAGATTAGTCTTCTGTCATTTTAAATATATACTTATATGCAGTGAATCTAGAAAATCGTCATTTCTTCTTTCTTATATTCAACTCATCTCATTGCTTTATTGTCTGTTCTTCTTCTGCTATGACTTCACAGGCTGTTCCTACCATCAAATCATACTTTGAGTTTCCTCTTCTTTTCCCCTTCTGGCACAAGTATTTCTTCACAGTAGATTCTCATCTAATTCTTCCACTCTTCACTTGTTCTCCCACATGAAAACACATATAGATATTATGTAAATAGGTGCTACGACTTGTGTGTGATAAAGAGAGCGGGGGTGATCCCAGCATCGTTTGTTGTCTCTCCAGTTTGCAGATAAAGAAGGTAATGGAGGAATCGTGGGAAATTGCAATGTGATTTGTTGCTCTGTTTTTTTTTTTTAGCAAAATCCTTTCACCACTCTGCTTACAATGCGAGGCAGAAAACCTCC